AGTATATACCCTATTAATCAAATTCTAAAAGTATGCTTTTGTTTACAGTACTCCGATAACGAGTGTATTTGCAGAAAAGGTAAAAACGATCAATTTTCACAAAGTATATAAATGTAATATAAAACAGTAATATTGTCAGAAGGAGCACGTAAAAACGTTTCCGAAATATCCACATGTAAGAGTTTGATGCTTAAGAAATGGAATACTGGTGTGTATTTTTTCTTTAAACTACCAAGACCAGCCATATACAGTACACTTTACATACAGTAATATGTTTACGTTCCTAAATTAATATATTTTATGAGCATGTGAAAGGCATACTTTATGATTTGAAACGAATGTGTGATCAGATCAACGAAATGCTGTGGTGTTACTTTTTGTCAATGAAAAAATAGTCTTTTTGTTTACAAAGATGGTTACAAAGAATGTGGACCAGGGTAATACTTTCAGTTTACACCCTGTCCAAGGTCATTCATAAGTAATATCTTTGGTAAAGACTTTGATGCATAAAATATTTCCGCATAATTAACATATTTATCATAAACATGGTAGGTTGTGTACCGTTTGTCCAACTGAACAATCTTGCTTTCATAAAATATACCAACGTTTTAATGTATAATGATTAACATTCTGTAATACACATTTTAAATTTAAAAGTCTAAAGATTATACAACTTAAATTCTTAATTGAATAAAGATTGTCCCTCAGCAGTGATCGAGATAATCTTACTTTTATTGCTGGGGGGGATGGCTATACCCTTCTGTATCACTTTATGGGCGATATACAATTTCTTGCATTAGGAATTTGTCTTTTAGCATACACCAGCTAGCTCTCCATGAGACACACAGATAGGGAGAGAGAAGCCTGGGGTCAGAGCACAGGGTCAGCCATTTATACAGCACCCCTGGAGCAGCTGGGGGTGAAGGGCCTTGCTTAGGGTCCCAACAGAGTAGGATTCCTCTGCAAGCCACGGGATTTGAACCAGCAACCTTCCAGCCACAAGCATAGATCCTAAGCCGCAGAGCCCTGCCTCTCCGCTCCAGTAATTAATAGGTGATTAATTAGTAATTATTAAGTTAGAAAAATGAAGCTATGCTAGTGTTGGAGGTACTGCTAGCTCTATGGAAATTCATAGATGTCTCTGAAATAACAAAGTAACACAGCACGAGATCTTCAACTTCTGATAGAACTTAAGCTGTCTCAAGGTCTTCCAGAGTACACGAGTGCACAACTGTCCATGGAAAAAAAAATGCACAGGCAAATTTAATGACACAATTAAGGTATATATAATTATGTACTTCTTTCTAAACCTCATTTAAATTCTTATTCTTAGCAGCAGTAATCCTAAGCAACTACAGTCATTTTATTTTTTCTTACTAAAGATTTTATGCAAGATCTTTAATAGTATTAAAAACAAACAAATAAAGCAAAGAATTGTAAGAGCACTCATCTTTTGTCTCCTGATGTTTGTAATTCCTCCTTGACCATCTGTATTTCTTATTGTGTTTTTAATTCCTGTTTGTAGACTTCATAAAAAAGGAAAATCTTTATCTACGATCACCTTTCACACCTTTTGACCAATGGGCCTTATTAACACTTCACACATAAAGACAGTTCCATGTACAATCAGAGAAGCATTGTTCCCTTTCCAGATATGAAAAATTATGATGTTAGAAATTTCTTCATG